TGGAGATGAACCCTGTCAGCAGGAGTACTACAAAGAAAAGTTGCAGCATCTTCATAGTTTGTGCTTGAAGCAGTAGGAAAGAGAGCGACAATCCAAACGAGAAGTTGCGGAGTTGAAGGAGAAACTCAAAAAGGTGGAAGAAGAAAAAAATAAGCTGGAAGACAAATTTAATTGGTTGGAGCAGAGAATACTAGGGGGTCGTGACTAAAAATGACATGTACGTGTTGAGCGTAGTAGTGCATCTTTATGTTTTCCGTGTCAAGTGTTTTCATTAGTAGTACTGAATTTATGTTATGTTAGGTTTGCTATGTTTGTGTTTGTATTGTAGGTTAAAATAAAATTATTGTTCAAATTGTGTTAAAATAAAATTCTTGCCATTGTTTACATAATGTAATATTTACATAAAATACAAACAAAAACAAAAATGAGTGTGTCCGACAGCCTGTGTGCTTCAATGCAGCCGCTGGCCTGAGGCGCATCCCCTGGCGCCCGGGTACACTATCAGGATCATCCTCATCAAGTCGCCTCTTTATGTGAGGATGTGATGCACCATGATCGTCAGTAGAGATGGCAGGATCGATAGAAGGGTTCGTCGGTCTGTCAGCAACCTACAAAACAATTAGTAAGCTTAGTATATGAAAATGTATATTATTAATGTACGTGTTAAGTCAAAAACATTTTCTTACCATGGTCTCGTCGGGCTCCTGAATATAAGCAACCGTGGTGTTCGCATCATCGCATAAAGTGTGCTCCTTGATGGCTGGGACGAAGCCTTAATTAGAAACTTAGAAAATTGAAAATTAATTTATGACAAATCACTAAGGAAAAAAAACAAATTAAAATTTAATAGTAATACAAACATACATGCGCCTGTGATAGATCCGCAGCAACCGCCGGGGATGAGCCAAAACTCAACCTGCGCCCCCCGTCCACGTCTCGGGTCAGCCGATCCTCAGCTGTGGTAGATGGGCCAGAAAAGAACTGCTCTACATCTCTCAATTAGGGACTAAGTGTCTCAAAACACTCCAAAACTCAAAACGAATCTTCCCGGCAACCCACAATAGCAGAAATAAACATGGGGAAAATATTTAATAGGGGATCCGGGTGTTAATTCTCAAAACGACCGGATGGGTCGTTACACTTTATGACTTAGACTCTACTTGAAAAAGAGGGACTAAGTCTAGGACAACTAGGCTAACAAGGAATTGGGGTGAACTCAACAAATTGATAGCCCCAATTAAAGGGTTAAACCTAGAGATAGTAATACTCGACTTAAGCTAATATCACTTTATTTGTATGAATACCCATTTGGACTTGAGAAAGCCAAATTGGGCAAAATCACTCAAACTACCGAGAGGTATAGAGTGAGTACCCGGGTGTGATAGCTATATTACGATCCCAACTAATCAATCTTGCCATAGATTTTACTACCCGTTAGATATCCACCTAGGTAGAAGTCATGACCCTAGTATTCTTAAACACTTGAAAATCAACAACAAAAATATTGTCCTTAGTTTCAGTCATTGCAATCTTTAGAGTAAAGTTAGAAGTAGAAATCAAACCCCAAACTTGTGAAAGTGTAATTAGATTCAAAGCTTACATCTAGCTTAGATATAAACCTAATTCCAATCATTAACTCCCTATGGATTCGATCCCGACCTAGTTGGGTTAAAACTGCATCGACGACCCTTGCTACTCAATAGTAGTGTAGACTTGGACCCGATCAGAAGCCCCTCGACTTTGCTCATAAAAAATCAAAGCAATGTCACTTCCTCTAAAAAGAAGGATGAGTCTGGCCGAGGGTGACCTCGTACTTCTTGCAGAAGTCAACAATGATTGGATCTAGAGGACCGAATGTGAAAGGGTAGGTATAAACACTCAAAAAACCCTCAACATGCGTAGTGATTGACTCTTCGGGCGAGGGCACCGCCACGTGCTTGTCTACCTAGTTGCAGTCCTTTTTAACTTGCTTTAAAAGGCCACCGGTGATTGTGCATATGTACCTCGACATCGGCTCACATCGGCCCAGAACCGAGAAGGTCTTTTCAACTTTGAAATCGGAGTCAAGGACACACAGCGGAGGAAAGAATTCTTCAGGGAGTGGCTCCGCCGCTGGTTGTTCACCGGCCGGCTTAGACGAGGAAGCTTTTTCTTTCTGCGGCACAATTTTGGATGTTTTCGCCATTTTGTGTTTCAGCTTAAAAAAAGAAGAAGAGAATAAGACTTGGTGTTTTGAGAGAAGGTTGATAACAAAACCTGGAGATTATGCAGAACAGAGAAACTTAAAAGATGTAAAAAGCTTTGGAAATTGGAAGAAATTGGAAGTAAATTTTGAATCAATGAGAAAAGGGCCTATTTATGGGTTTCACGACGACTGTTCGAAACCACTATGACCGACCATCGACTGGCATGCATTAAATGCCTGGGGAGCTGCACCGATGGGACGTTTCGGTCACAGCTGCCGCTTACGTTACGGGAATGACGTCATGACAGGTCTAGGATCGAAGGCTCAATTCGTTTCTTGTCATTACACTCCAAAAAACGAGGGGGACTATCTGTATACGGTTAAAGTCGGGTCCACCCGATTTTACTGATTTATCAAGATCAGTGTGAAGGATCGGAGATCAACCCCGTAATAGATCGGATCGAGGGACGAGGCCAAGGTACCGAGTTCGAGATTCGAGGTACCTATCAAGATCGAGGGCGGTAGTGATTGAGACCAAATGAGACAGACATCGAGTAAGATCGGATGTAGCATAATAACAGAAAGGCGAGATATCCGTCACTGGTCGGAGATCATGGCGAAAATCTCGGAACGTATCAAATCAAGGACGGTTAACTAGCTAATCATGGGGTTTTCTTTTGTAATAAAAGTTATACCATAATTAGGATTCCTCCAAAATATAAAGAGGAGTCTCAATCATTTGTAGGACACTTACATTCTGAGATATAAAAGCAATTTAACACTTTCTCTTTAATTTATACTCATGTTCATCAGCTTGCTTATATTTTTAACTGTTCTTATATCAATCAGCTTGAGGGTATCCGAACTCTAGGGCAGAATCCCATTCAAACACTGGTTTGTTTTATCTTATTATTAATTTCTATTACTAATCTTTACATTTATCAATTGGTATGAGGTGAAATTACGTGTCCTTAAAACCATATTATAAATTTAATTGTTATCCGAATAAACAGATATGATCTGTGATTTTTAGAACTAATCTCCGAGAAATAGGGATGAGAGAGCTAGCATGTTCAACTATGACTGATTATCAAAAAATAAATACGATAAAAAAAAATCATAAAATTTGATCACAAAGCCAAGAAATCAGCTAAATGAAAAGATACTTTCCACGTTATCAAGCAGAGCCAAATATTTATCCTCCAGACATGGATACATTTAAGATAAACATAAAGTGTGTAAATATATGATTCTACTTGACTTTTCGGTTAGATTTAGAGGGTGTTTGGCTAAGCTTATAAGTTGGTCAAACTGGCTTATAAGCACTTTTTGGTTTATTTACGCGTTTGGTAAAATTAAAACTGCTTATAACTCAAGTGCTTATAAGCCAAAAATAAGCCAAAAATAAGTTGGTCTCCCCTAGTTTATCAAATTTCAGCTTATAAGCAGTTTAAGTTTGACCAAAATATTTACTATTCTATCCCTAAAATACTTCTTTTTAAAACAAAACTCTTCGTATACCCGGTTCTTTAGCTGCATATTATTAATTTCAGCACTTTTATCCAAACACGTAACTGCTTATTTTTTAAATCAGCTTCAGCACTTAAAAGTGCTTTTCAGCACCTTATGCTTATCAGCTACTCTAAATCAGCTAAGCCAAACGGGCTCTTAGTAGATTTTTCTTAGGATTTATTGTCTGATTTACAAGCCATAAGTAAGTGATTTTAAGTGATAAAAGCTAATTTAGTGGGGTAACCTTTTATAAGATAATCATAAGTTTGAATGATTTTGAGTTTAAGTTTGTATATATATCATGTACTTCCTCGTCGACTTTAATTTTTGCAATATCAAGAAAGTTATCCTTAAAATAAATAATTACGGTATCATATTTCTAATGAACTGTTATAAAATCTTTAGTAAATGTGGATGTCCACTACTCCCACTACTTTCATCCATGATGTAAATAACCTCCCACTACTCATCACCATTATGATTGTAACTCCCACACCTCCATAACCCCTCCCCATGATCTTCCCCCATGATCAATTGTTAAAGTCATGTTTAAGACAATCATTTTGTAACCTTCATATGTAATAGTATAAATAGAGGCATGAAATGTGAGATGGAACACATTTGAACACTTGATGAAATAAGAAAGTTATCTCTTCTTCTCTTATTCTACTTATCTTCTTGTTTTATATTGTTACTTTGAGCTACATTTCTTAATACGTTATCAGCACGAAGTCTCTAACCTCAAGATTGAATTCCACTTGCAAAGGTATATATCTACAACCTAATGCTCAAATTATCAAATTGTTGCTACACATTTCTTTTATGTGGAATCTACTTCTTTTGGATTTACTCAATTAGAATTATGCGTTGTCTCGTAAAAAGGAAATATGACAATTATACTGAGTGCATTATGTTTAATGCCAATAGTTGACATGTTTGTCAGAATAGTTAAGATTAGTTGAAATAGTTTTTCCTACTATTTTAATACTCTATCAAATGACTTCCCGATTTCTTTCCTTACGACTAATGGCTTTCGGGAAAAAAATGTTTTTGTTTATTTTGAAGAATTATATGTTTATATTTATTATTGCGGCATAGCTAATTCATGTATTTTTATGGTGATTAACTGGTCAATTAATGTTATTATTTTTATGGGATATGATCAGATTGACCCTTTGATGAAAATATTTTCGTTTATTTTACTATTTCTAATTCATTTATTTTCTTTGATAGTTTTTACTATGTCGAATTTGTCAAAGCTTGAATTTGTGGCACTTGACATTTTTGGAAAGAATTACCTATCATGGATTCTGATGCTGAGATTCACTTAGCCGCTAAATGCCTTGGTAACACCATTACTCAAGGTAATGAGGCATCAAACCAGGACAAAGCGAAGGCCGTGATTTTCCTCCGTCATCATTTGGATGAAGGTTTGAAGGTTGAATATTTAACAGTAAAAGATCCACTTGAATTGTGGACTGGCCTGAAGGAAAGGTATGATCACCTTAAGGCTATGGTATTGCCAAGGGCTCGATATGAGTGGATGCACTTACGGTTGCAAGATTTTAAGATCGTAAGTAAGTATAACTCTGCTGTATTTCGAATAACTTCCCAATTGAAATTATGTGGGGAAATTATGAATGATGAGGATTTGCTGGAAGACTCTTACGACTTTTCATGCTTCAAATATGGTATTATAGCAGCAATACCGTGAAAGGGGTTTTAAAAAGTATTCTGAATTGATCTCATACCTTATGGTGGCTGAGCAACATAATACCCTTTTGCTGAAAAATCATGAAGCCCGTCCCACAGGGTCAGCTCCGCTTCCTGAAGCGAATATGGCAGCTAGACGTGATAAGTCTGGAAAAAGACAGAATAATAATCATGGCCATATGAATGTACGTGGGCATGGCAATGGTAAGAGATGATATAATAGTCGTCATCGTGGTGGTCATGGCAAACGAGAGAACAATATGGGTTCTCAAAACAATCCTTCAAAAGGCAAAAGCGGTAACTGCCACCGCTGTGGCATGAAAGGTCATTGAAAAATTGAATGTCGTGCACCTGAGCATTTTATCAGGCTTTATCAAAACTCCATCAAAAGAAAGGCAAATAATGTTGGAGCATCTTCTGCTAATGCCCCAGTGGAGTCTCACTTGACCTTTAAAAATAATTTTGAGGCAGGGCCTTCAAACAAAAATGATGACAATGCCGAGACAAATCTTGCTTTGAATGATGATGATTTTCAAGGCCTCGATGATCTTACTCATTTGGAAGTTGAAGACTTCTTTGGAGATCAAACTAAAGTTTGATCATTTTACTGGGGAATGCAATTATGTTATTTTTATTTTCAGTGGTTTTCTTTGTCTCGTTCTAAAGTTGTTTTTTATTTTCAAGTAGTACTTAAGTTGTCTTCTGTTATCGTTGGTGATGTTAGTTTTTTCGTATTTCTCATGATGTACTTTTATTTTTTATGAAGAATATAAAATTCCCCAGTCTATGATCACGCACAACTATGCCTTCTAAAAAGGCATACATAAATATTCACTCTCTCCCGAGTTATGCATACTAAATAGGCACAGCTAATTGAGAGCTCTTCAATCAACCAGAATATAAACGTAGTTGAACAAATAGAGAAAAGCTATGGCTCAATTATATAAAAACATAACAAGAATTTATCCTACAAAAGGTTCTATCAAAACATAAGATAACAAATTAGCTATTCATAATAGCATGTAAAACTACAATACTAAAAGTCATAACCAACAATGAAAAATAGGAAGAGGAAGGAAAAACTCGTAGAAGAATTCTCTGCCTTGCTCCTCGCGTGTTCTTGCCTCCAAGGGTGTTGTCTAACCCTAAAGTAGTGTCTCTCCGCCTCCTTAGGTCTAATTTGTGTCCAAAATATTTCCCCTCCTGTCTTTTGGCTGGCTTCCTTCGTTTAATATAGGGTTTAGGGCTTAAAATCCCTTGTTTTGCACTTTGGTCCCTGAAATTTTCGGTTCCTGCCGCGGTCCCACCGCGGTTACGCCAGGACCGCGGCTAGAATGGTCCTCTGAATCTTTGGTAATGTTCTGCCGCGGTCATACCGTAACCGCGATTTTTCACCCTGTTCCGTTTGGAATTTGGAAAAAACGTAAAACATAAAAGTTGTAGCCCTTTGAGTTAGCTTTCCAACCATATATTGTGAAGCCCAAATGGAGTTCTGAGAAAAAGGTTATGTCTATTTTACTAAACAGTGTACAATATGCCTCCTCGAGTCTTCGTTTTGTTGTTTTATCATCCGTTGATCCCCGAATACGATCCCGGCTTAATTCCTTGGGCTTTTACTCAGACTTCAAAGCTCCAAATCACTTGAATTCATTCCATAACATCTATATAGCTCGGAATCACTCATACAAGGCATAAAACACACCGTTAGTGCAAAACACTAGCGATTAAAGCGCAAACTCAACTAAAGTGCAGTAAATTAGAGTGTAATAATCGACTAATATACGTAATTATAGCCTATCATCAACACCCGACACTTACACCATTGCTCGTCCTCGAGCAATCAAACTACACTTTTTATAGACACGGCCTTTTTAAACAATTCTACTAACTCATCACACCAAGAGTACTTAAGATAGACTCAGCACAAAAGCGTAACATCTTCACCTCACCTTTCCTTCATGAATCAAGTGCCCTCACACAACAAAAGAGAGTAGTTCCACACAATAAAATTTACGAACACTTAGGAACTCAAGATAGAAAGAATTCACTCACTCTCAGAAATAACATTCATATGCCACAAAAGATGCACCATAAGCTTGCCCGTAGTGTACTACTCCACTAATCGAGCTCATTCAATCTTGGATCAATTAGGACTTTATTTGGTTGTAATGTAGGCTACAGGACGGGTAGGATACATTTAGATATAAGAGTGACAACACCTCCCTAAGCACTTTAATACATACATTTTAACATTTAAACCCCGTACTTATGTCAAACCAAAATTTCACCTTCACATCAATGTAAATTACCCCATTATTCTTTAAGCACACTTACGTCAGGAGCCATCACTTATCAAGAAATATTTTTTTTCACAACAATCCAACTATTTTGTTTTCAATTCAAGTGGCTCTTCCTTTTTCAAAACGGTGCACCTTTCTCCTTATTCAATTAGTTCCACTCAAAAGCCAAACCAACCACCCCACACTTTAACTTTTACAAGGTTCATAACAATTCAAGTGCTCATGAGAGGTGAAAAGGTTCAAATAGATGGTTAATTCCAACAAATGGGTAAGGCTTGTAATGTGGTTGCCAAGGAAACAGGATTATAGGCTCAAAGAGGTTAACTAAGATACATAACAATTAGGTGGGTAAAATATACATATCCAGCTCAACAAAGAAACGCCTATCTCACTTCCAAGATTGAACAAAACTACTATTTCGCTTTGCAAACACACAGGGCAAGTTCTAGGCATCAAATGCAATGCACAGAATATAACAAATCCTTACACACACATGGCACATACCTCACTCAGGATTGGTTTCATAGACACTCTAGTCAAAGCAGTTAAGCAAAGTTAAGATCATACAATTTAAGGTACTTCTACAAGAGTCAAAAATTGAGCCTAAGCATCACAACCAAAGTACTAAGTATTCTCAAGGCATAACAAAGTCAAGAGATATTGCTTCAATTCAAAGCACAACACAATGACTCCTATTCCTATAAAAAACTAACTACACCTGGTTCAAATAAAACTCTTGGAAAAGAACCGTGGTTTAAAGAAAAACCAAGGGGTAATTGCTACACTCCCTAACAAAAGAAAATCTTTTTGTTTTATTTTTTTCTTTAGTCTTAAATCCCTCAAGAAAATTGTCTAATAGATCCATCGTCGAGAAAAGTCCAATCCTTTTTTTTTCGTTTTTTCTAAAAAAAATAAAAAAATTTATTCAATTAAGCTAACACAACTAAAATAGCACAGAAAGTCACCCAGACAATCTCTTCACCCCACACTTAAAATTGTGCATTGTCCCCAATCCACACCATACTAATAAGAGGGTAAAAGAAACTCCCTGGTAGGCCAAAGGCCGAAGCATTAACAGCTCATGGGGTACTCAGACTTCTCCCAAGCTTGGTCCTTTGTGCGGGTACCTCACACTTAGTTCCAACCATTTGGTTTGCTGTTGCATCCTTCCAATACCTTTGCTTTCCATACTCCTAGAAAATAAAAAATTGACACTACAAAAATAATAAAATTAAAAAAATAAAAAATAAATAAAAGAAAGCAATAAAGTTGGGTTGCCTCCCAACAAGCGCTTGATTTAACGTTACGGCACGACGTGAATTACTTTCTGCCTCCACTTTGAACTTATGAATCGGACCCCAAGTTTTGATTCTGCTCTATGATCATGCTCCTGGGGTGGTGGAACGAATCTGACTGGCCCAATAAAATAATGTAGTATTCTGCACTTCTTGGCCTTTAGATGAGGTGTGTAATCCCGACTTTCTGGCAAGAAGAATTCCAGAATGTAAGCACTTTGTTCCTCATTCCTTGACTCCTCAAACGGCTCAGATGACTCTATTTTCATATCATCATCTAAACACAATGTGGAAAAATGCTTGGAGTGAGGACCAATGCGCTCAACTATATGAACATTGGGACTGTCTACATTCTCAACACTAATGAAAATAGAGTCAACTAAATATGTATCCTCAATATCCTTGGTTGACTCTAGTATCTCTTCTACAACATCGACATCCTCAAAATCTAGTGCAATTGATTGTTGGTGTTCTACTCTAGCCTCCTCCTCTAGCTCATCCTCGTATTTTTTTAATTCCTCCAGTAATATGGCAATTTCTACAGCCCTTTCTTGCTCACATTGGCTACTATCCACAATGTCAACTTGTTGCGCTTTACCATATTCAATTAATTTATTCGCTTGAGCCTCCAAGTTGTGAATAGTTGCCCCTTGCCTTTGTACCCGCAGTTGTATCTCATCATATTGTTTCGTAAGGCACTTTAGCATATCCTCGATCTCTTTCAGGTCCTCATACCTGGGTTCTTTGCTCCTATTAACTTCACCAGAAAAAGAAGAACCATCAAAGTAAGGGGTTGGGGGAAGGTAAGAAATATAAGCACAACCGTGAAAGTGACCATCTTGACCACCACATATATCACACACATTCCACACATGAGATTGAGTTGGTGCACAAAACTCGCTCTCGGGAATATTTTGATAATTTTGCCTTGAGTGGTTTTCTTCACAATATGCATAAGGAGGATTAAAAGTAGAATTACCAACATCTAAATTCTCATAATTCGATGATGCCATGTTTCTGAAATAAACAAAAAAAACTATAAAAAAACAACAACAAAAAATCAAATAATAAAATAAAAGTTCAAACTTGAAACCTAGAAATATGTACACCTACAACTACACCGTTAGTTCCCCGGCAATGGCGCCAAAATTTAATCACGCCCAACTATGCCTTATAAAAAGGACAATGCGGTCATTGCAAATATAATCCGGTTTACAAGTCCGGAGTCGAATCCCACAGAGAACTAAGATTTAGCTACAACTGTTCACTATCACCAAGAAGACAAGCTTGAATAATTCCTAACTTATAGATATTTAGATTCTTGTGTTTAACTAATTAACTAACGAATTAAAATAGTAAATTAACAACTAACGATACTGAGGGTTAGAGAAAAGATTAAGGAGGTCTAGAGTTATGATTTCCCCTATTGTCGGAATCCTTCCCGCTATGTCTTCTATAATTTTGCCTAAGTATTCTCTACCGATCATGAGCACTCTTATTACTGTAAATCTCTCCCGAGTAATTACGACAATTTACTAGACGCACTCTCCTGAGCTACGCTAGCTGGCTTTTAATACAGCTCACTTCAAATCGCACCCAAGGCTTCGTTATCCCTAATCCCTCCTTTAAACCCTCGGTTATTGATCCCTCATATACTCTGGGAGTGGTGTTGTTCAACAATTACCTAAATATGCACTCTCTCCCGAGTTATGCATACTAAATAGGCACATCTAATTGAGAGCTCTTCAACCAACAACAATATAAACGTAGTTGAACAAATAGAGAAAAGCTACGACTCAATTATATAAAAACATAACAAGAATTTATCCTACAAAGGTTCTATCAAAACTCTAGATAACAAATTAGTTATTCATAATGGTATGTAAAACTACAATACTAAAAGTCATAACCAACAATGAAAAATAGGAAGAGGAAGGAAAAACTCGTAGAAGAATTTCCCGCCTTGCTCCTCGCGTGTTCTTGCCTCCAAGGGTGTTGTCTAAC